TGATTAAGTAGAGTCTAGTGTTTATCAAAGAGAAAATGCATGTGTAACACACGATACGCTCGAATATTATTCTGGTAGTGTTGATTGTGTTAAATCTAATTATATTCCAGATGCAATTTCTAATTAAGTCTAATGAAACAAGCTTTCGTCGCTAATCTGGATGGGTTCAATCGTTGCCACTTGTGACAGCAATATGTTGGTCTACGTCGGCACAGAATGCGATTAAATTATTGAAATTAACTTTATTAGATTTGTCACTAATTATTTTTAAAAATAAATCCTTTCTGGCAAATTAATTTAATTAAACAAAACTCGACCTCTAAACCAATAACCATACAAACGCGAAAAGACACACGTGAAATTTTAAAATACACTTCTTAACTTTTATTGGTTTATTATATTCAAAATTCACCAATTAACGCGTAGTAGTTGAGAAGGCCTACTCTTATTGGTTTAATCGTATTGTATTTAACAACCAATGAACGAGGGAAGAGAATTTTTAAATTTACCTAACAATTATTAAGCGATTATTTGTTACAGGGCGCAAAATTTAATGAAATTTTAGAAGGATATTCACGAGAAATGTTTATTTTAATTGGTTTTTTAATTAAAATTATTTAATTCGCTACAGAAATATAAGAAATTAAGCGAGAACGATCAAACACCACTTTAGCAAACACTAACGAATCTATAAAGAAGCGGTAATGAGAGTGGCTCGGTCCAGCAAAATTTCAAAAATAAATCACGCAAAATCTGGCATTCGCAGTTTAAGAAGAAATTTCCAGAAAAAAAGAAAGAAAAAATCACAGGAACCTCTACAATATTTGCGAACAACACCCATTTTTAATTACTCGACACCCCCCGCAGGCAAGAAACAGCTGTAATAAACACGTCAACGTATTTTAAACAGCAATCATCTCCATCAAACCTTTAAAAAAAAATCATGTCTAGCGTAGTACGTGTGTGTGTCTGTCTGTGATTTCTTACAGGACGCCTTTATAATTAATCGTCTGTTTGATCAGTATACGGGGGTTCGGCATCCATTTAAAGTTAAAAAAAAACAAGAGATCATTAATTCTAACTGGTCGTCCCCCCCCGGTTTTTGTACAGTAAATTCCCAAAGCGAAGTAAAATTCTCAAGAGATGAAGCCAAAGTTAGATCATTGGAGAATGGGATCGAGGTTGGAGTAAAGTAGAAGTCACCGAATTACGCTAATAGCAAGCAATATACTACGAAATCACGAGACTACTGATTTATTTATCTAGTAGAGTCTTCTATCTAGGTTGATTACATCAGTCCAGAGGGTTCCTACCGTAAACGTAATTAAAATATGTTGTCCCGTTTCTTTGCTTTTATATATTTCATGCTTTGTCTCCACTCCTAACATTGGTGTGGAGCCATAGGACGAGGGCGGAGCCATACTTGTCAGCTTTAGCGAATAGAAGTCATTCTTGAAAGTAGAAATGTGTGTAGTCTAAGAGACGTGATCTTAGTTTTTTTAAGTTCTTAAACTTTATTTTTATTTTCTATTTTAAAGTGGATCCCTCCTATTAACTTTCTTAAAATTTATCAACAAGTTTAAATTTGCTCCGTTCGTGTCTTTCGTTTAAAACAATCGGAAATTTGAACTTTCCTTTCTCATTGTTCCCACTTCCCCCCTCTCCTTTTACTTGTTTTTTTCTCCTTCTCCACAAAATTGAAATTAATTGGTTAGAAAAAAATATATATAAATTAAAGAAATTAAAATGTATTTACATTTTTAATTGTTTTTATCTATTATTTATTTATTTCTCTTCGATTTTACAACAATTAAAATTCGAGAAGATGAAATATACAATTTTATTTTCAGAAAATTAAAGTTGTAAATTTCATAAAATTAAATTTCTATTTAAATTTACAACAATTAAATCGAAACTGACAACTTTATTTATTTATTTTGTGAAATTGAAATTAAAATTTACAACAATTAAAAATTCGAAAAATGAAATTTACAACTTTATTTTTTAAAAAATAAACTTGTATATTTCTCGAATTAAAATATTTTCATTGTTATTTCATTATTATTAAAATTTTAAATTTAATTTTACAATTAAAATTCGAAAAAAAATGTAAATTTTATTTTATTTTCTTTAAAATTTAAATGGTTATATTTATTATTTAATTATAATTATTTTTAACTTAAATTTTTAAACTATTT